TTTTCTGCAAAGTTTGCAGAAGAGCCAGCGCTGTCCGAAGATGTCTCCGTGGTCATGTGGTCAGCATGCCTAAACACCGAAGGTGCACGGAACGCTGTTCCCTTCCCACCAAAGGAGGTCCCTATTTTTCTACTTGCATTTTTTACCTGCTTTCGAACTGCTAGGTTGGCAGAAGCTGGGACAAGTCACGGGAGCTCACTCCGTTACGCGGCGCTAGGCATTCGAACCGCCGAACTGCTGAAAGCTCAGCGTAGAAAGTAGAAAAATAGGAACCACCTTTGGTGGGAAGGGAACAGCGTTCCGTGCACCTTCGGCACTGAGTCATGCCGGCCACATGACCACGGAGACGTCTTCGGAGGATGGTTGAGGACAGGAAGGCCTGGAGGAACGTTGTCCATGGATCCGCCATGAGTCGGACGCGACTTCCCAACGAACAATAACGACAAATATCAAGTACTTAGGGGCACAAGGAAACAAGGACCAGCAACTTAATAGCTGGCCCTCAACACCCCAATCAACATCTGAAAAACTACTCACCGCAGACACCGTGTAAATGCCACACGCAGAATAACGCAAAACACACACTCCGCTAGAGAGAAGGTCCTCGAGAATGGGTGCCAGGACGAGTCCGAACGCTCGGAAGACAAAATGTCCCGTCCCGATGACCGAGCCAGATTGGATCCTGGGGACGCTTATATTCTCCTTCGTTCGCGATCAGTTTCCGCTCCTCTTATAATTTTTCTCACGCGCTTTTGCTTCTCCCCGTTAGGTTCTGCTTTCCAGTATGGAGAAGGAATTGTCTTCCTGCAAGTCCAGCTACACCATTTCTGACTTGGTGCGCACGCCGAGCATCCGCCGCATTTTCTTCTGCCTCTCCATGGTGTGGTAAGCGGGTCAACCTGAAGGACGGCTGTCCTTCAAGAAGCCACGTCCTGTCAGTCAGTTTCCCAGGAAGAGAAAGAGGGAGGGGTACGCTCTCTATTTGAAAAGCCCACCGTTTGATCCACAGTCAAAAGCAGGAATGAAGCAACGTTTTGGAGAGGGGGCTTAAAGCTTTTTCAAGGATGAATTGTTTTGTTTAGGGAGTGTTCACATCATAGTGAACAATGAATTTAATCTTTCTTTCTTCCTTCCTTTCTTTCTCTTTCTTTCTTTCTTTTTTCTTTCTTTCTCTCTGTCTTTTGTTTCTTTCCCCTTTTCTTTCTTCTCTCTTCCTCTTTCTTTTTTCTTTGTTTCTCTTTGTTTCTCTCTTTTCTTTCTTTCTTCTCTCTTCCTCTTTTTCATTCTTGCTTTCTTATCTCTTCCTCTTTCTTTTTCTCTTTCTTTCTTTCCTCTTTTCTTTCTTATATCTTCCTTTCTTTTTTCTTTTTTTCTCTTTCTCCCTCTCTTTTCTCTCTTCTCTTCATCTTTCTTTCTTTCTTTCTTTCTTATCTCTTCCTCTTTCTTTTTTCTTTCTCTCTTTCTTTCCTTTTCTTTATTTTTTCTTTCTTATCGCCTCCTTTTTTCTTTTTTCTCTTTCTCCCTCTCTTTTCTTTCTTCTCTCTTCCTCTTTCTTTTGTTCTTTCTTTCTTTTTTCTTTCTCTTCTTCCTCTTCTTCCTCTTTCTTCCTCTTCTTCTTTCTTTCTTTCTTTCTTTCTTATCTGTTCCTCATTTTTCTCTCTCTCTTTCTTTCCTCTTTTCTTTCTTATAACTTCCTTTCTTTTTTCTTTTTTTCTCTTTCTCCCTCTCTTTTCTTTCTTCTCTCTTCCTCTTCTTTCTTTCTTTCTTTCTTTATCTCTTCCTCTTTCTTTCTTTTTTCTTTCTCTCTCTTTCTTTCCTCTTTTCCTTATTTTTTCTTTATCTCCTCCTTTTTTCTTTTTTTTCTTTCTCCTTCTCTTTTCTTTCTTCTCTCTTCCTCTTTCTTTCTTTTTTCTTTCTTTCATACACTCTCTTTCTTCCTTCCTTCCTTCCTTCCTTCCTTCCTTTTCATTCTTTCACTACCCATCTCTGCAAATGACTCGGAAGGGGGGAGCCCTCACAACTCAAAACTATCACCGTTAAAATCTTACAAGCATTTCAAATCAATAAAAACAGTAAAATAAAACCCATTAAAACAATTAAAAAACATTAACATATCTATTATAATTAGCAACCTTAGCATTCCCTTAGCACCCACACCATTCATACTTATGACTGCCACTTTCACTTAATGACCTCTGCAAAAAAACACCTATCGTAAACCCGTTTGATGACTACATTACAACTACAGGCTGCATGACAGCCATAACTCGAGGACTACCTGTTAGAAGAGTTCAGGGAGCTTTAGAACGAAGGGGTCCTTGAGGGAGATGGTGAGGTCTAGAAACATGGAACATAAATGGATCGATAAATCAGCGGACATCCTCCAAATTGCTTTCTGTGGTTTGGTGAAGAAGTCAGCCTCTTGACCAATAATGGTGGAACTTGGGGCTGGTTGTTAATACTATGAAATCTTCAGCCGTCGGGAAACGACAACTCAGAGCGATTGTGTTTTGTGTACTTCAGGTTCTCTGTCAGCTTCTCCTACTACGGGCTGGTCATGGACCTCCAAAATTTTGGGGTCAGCATTTACCTCATCCAGGTGATCTTCGGAGCGGTGGATTTTCCCGCCAAACTGATTGTCACGATCACCATGAGCTACATTGGACGGAGGGTCAGCCTCACCGGCTTTCTGCTGACCGCCGGGACCATCATCATCACCAACTTATTTGTGCCCTTGGGTGCGTATGTCGGCTGATCTGCCTGTTGTGTGTGTTGTTCTCCCTCCTATGTCAGCCTTCAGGGGACTTCCTCAGAAGAAGAACCAGCCAACTGTCCAGAAGATTTCGACCCAGACCAGGAGGAGGTTGTCTGCTGAGATGGGTGGACTTCCACTCCCAGAATCCCCCAGGCAGCATGCTTTAAGAGGGGTGGACTTCAACTCCCAGAATCCCCCAGCCAGCAGGCTTTAAGAGGGGTGGACGTCCACTCCCAGAATCCCCTAGTCAACATGCTTTAAGAGGGGTGAGTGGACTTCCACTCCCAGAATCCCCCAGTCAGCATGCTTTAAGAGGGGTGGACTTCAACTCCCAGAATCCCCCAGTCAGCATGCTTTAAGAGGGGTGGACTTCCACTCCCAGAATCCCGCAGGCAGCGTGATTTAAGAGGGGTGGACTTCCACTCCCAGAATCCCCCAGCCAGCATGGTGTTGAAGTCCACCCCTCTTAAAGTTGCCAAGATTGAGAACTATTGCTCCAATTATTCCATCGGTATTGATATTTAATCTCAGAACGGTGTAATTAAAAGGAACAGAAAGATCATTTAGTCCAACCTCTTCAATGTGCAAGAAAATCAGTTAAAATACCCCAGAGATGTGGGGTAAAATTGGGCATGGCTTGCTTAACAACCGTCTTGCTTAGCAACATAAATGTTGGGCTCGTTTGTGAGTGATGACCATAATTGAGACCCCAAAAATTACGTTACTAAGTGAGACCTGTGTTAAGTGAGCTTTGTTCCTTTTGCGACCTTTCTTGCCCAGTCGTTAAGTGAATCTGGCTTCCCCATTGACTGGGCGCCCCAGACAGGGACGCAAAAGGAGGTCACCTGACCCCTCTGGGACATTGTGACCGTCATAAATACGAGTCAAGCAACTGGATTCTGATCACGTCGTAACCAAAGGGATGCGGGAACGGTCGTTAAGTGTGAAAAACGGTGATAGGTCCTCCGGTTGTAACTTTGAAAGGTTACTAAATGAACTGTTGTAAAATCATGACATTATTTTGTTCCGTATTTTGTCCCCCCGTTTCTTTCTGTAGAAATGCAGACGCTGCGGACGGCGCTGGCAGTCATCGGCAAAGGCTGCCTCTCGGCGGCCTTCAACTGCGTCTTCCTCTTTACGACAGAACTCTACCCAACCCCTGTCAGGTGAGGGGAGCTGCCTTTAAAGCCCTCTCGGGTTACTTTCGGAACTGTAACTCTGGGGACAGAATCCCCCACCCCCACCGGTTCCTGGGTTCAAATCCCTCACATCTCCAAGTACGGGTAGTGCTCGACTTACAATCACTGAGAGCCGTGGTGGCGAAGTGGTTAGAATGCAGCATTACAGGCTAGCTCTGCCCACTGCCAGCAGTTCGATCCTGACCGGCTCAAGGCTGGCTCAGCCTTCTGTCCTTCTGAGGTCGGTAAAATGAGGACCCAGATGGTTAAGGGCAAGTGTGTGTAAAGAGGTTAGAGACTGCTGTAGAGCACTGTGAAGCGGTATATAAGTGCTATTGTGCTTCCTTCCTTCTTCTTTCTGTTCCTACCTTTCTTTTCGCTGTCCCTCCCTTTCCCTTTCTTTTTGACTTTCTTTTCCACTTTTTCCTTCCTTCCTTCCTGTTCCTGTCTTGTACCTTTCTTTCCTCTCTCCCTTCCTCTCTTTATCCTTCTTTTTGACTTTCTTTTCCACTTTTTCCTTCCTTCCTTCCTTCCTGTTTCTGTCTCCTTTTTTTCCTCCCTCCCTCCCTCCTTTTCCCCTTCTTTTTGACTTTCTTTTCCACTTTTTCCTTCCTTCCTTCCTTCCTGTTTCTGTCTC